TTTGTACCACAGCATGTAATGAAAATGCTTTAGTAAGAGTTTCATGACAAGAACTGAAGCTGGAAAAAGATCTCTGTGTTTTCATGTTTATGGTATTTTCCAGATTCCTTGCTTTTGTGACAGTGTACAGTTAATTACAGGTTAGTTTCAGATAACACTTCCATCCATAAATAACTACAGATGGGAATCTTTCTGTGTCCACGGATGGAGGTCAAAACTATCTCCTCTGCTTGTGTACCTTTTCTTCTAGCAACAAATAACTACAGCTTCCAGTTCTGAGAACAATGATTAGAGGTCTGAACAAAAACATCACTTAGCAGTGTGTACATGTGAATTCGTTTCCTATCATACAGACTTCCTCAAGATTAGGGCCACTTCAATGCTGTTTTCCTTAGACTTGCAAGATTTGTGTCCCACACTGACTAGACATGTATCTCTTCACAGTTGTTCCCTGAAATAATTGCAGCCTCTAATACAAGCCCAAATTCCCCTAAATTACATTTCATAGCGAATATTAGAAAAACTTTGCTAGCACTGGGATAAAATTAACTGTAAACCCTGCTTTACAAATACTCTGTGGGATGCAGGTATATATGTATGCATACTTCATATTAATTCGCATTCAGATTTTTGTTATTTTATCTCTAGCTCAATAGCTCTTCTGAAGTTGTAAAGTCTCTTTACTTATAGAAAACACTTTAAATCAAACAATGAAGTTTTTGGAAACTTCAGAGACTGTTATACCCCATTCGTCTGCTCTAACGAAGATCAACCCATTCAAGTATGACTTTGCATATAAAACTGGAAAACTGAAACCAAAAGATTCCTACGCTCCACAACTCGTCTCTGTACTTATTAGTCAGCTCTCACTAACATTAAGATTCTAGTAGAAACAATAGATTAATGAAGATTTGCAGATCTGAATCACAGAAGACAATTTGCTAAAAGAACTGTAACAAGGATATGGGGAATATTAGTTGTATGGTGAATGAGATGGCTCTGGTTCTTCCTGTTCATCCCTTAGTAATTCTGCTACAAAGCAAATACAAAAATTCAGTTTCCAGAAGCTATCAACTCTACTAAGAATCCTCAAGTCTGCCACCAGAAATAAAAAAATTACAGAAAGGAGAGCATGCTGAGTCTGATTAATATTTATAAATATAGCATCTGTTCTCTTTGGTTACCCATTTCCTTTTTTTCAGCACCTCATGAAAAACTCCGTTAACAGAAAATTAGGGAGCTTTTGGTTTCAGAGAGAGCCATCAACATACCTGTGGTCCATCAAAAAAGATGTTTAAAATAAGGCTTGTCTGTGTTATGTTTTCACTATTTTAGGAATGGAGTATAAATATGTGGCTATAGATAAGTTGAAAAGGTGGCTTATCTACCTTTTAAAGTCCTGTTATGAATATTAATCCATGAAGCTGAAACACAATGCAAGCTTAAAAAGTTACTATCTTCCTGAAGATTTAATGTTCTTTTGTGTGTCAAATAATGCATGTTTCAGGGTTCTGTATGGCTTTTTCCTAGTTTCTCGCAGGAAATTCCCTATGCACCTCCTCATACATTATATTCTTTTAAACAATTAGTGCAGGTAATTTACTACTATGTTTGCTACCCTATGCTTCACAATGACTGAAACTTGAAGCTTGTTTAGCAAGATAGAAACCTGCCATTCTCTTTTGAGATAGCAATGGGTTAACTTGCCAACTGGAGAAGTTTCAGTCTGACTGCCCTTGCTTCACAGTAGGACAGTGACAGATTCCAGAAAAGAACAGAAAGAAAAAATGCAGCCAAGTAAGGAAAACACTTAGGTCAACCAAATATATTAGGCAAACCTCAATGTCAAAGCACAAACACTGGAAAAACAGAAGCCTGTAATGGAGAGTGAAAGCCCAGTTAGTTTTACAGGAATATTTTTCCCTTCATAGAAACAGTCACAAAAGTCTTGGCAAGTAAAAAAAGTTGGTTGTTCAACAGTCTGAAAGTGAAAAGTCAACCTTTTCTCAATGTCATTAAAAAAAAAGCACTAATATTCAAAGTTGCAGCATTGAAACTGAAGAGAAAAGGAAACCTTGTAGATGTTAAAAGCTAGATAATTGTCTGACTTCATACACAATTGTAAAGGAAAATATTGGACAAGGACGTTATTCTCTGTTACTATTACCTTCAAGATGTTGCTACAGTCAAGATTAATGAAGTCAGAAGACTAAATAAAAATTATTTGATAACATCCTTTCTGTTATACTGCTTAAAACTAAACATATTTCTGCATAGATTACTGGTTTCATGATAATTTCTTACAACACATTAAATAGCTCTACTGGAAAACAAAATCACCCAAGAAGTAACATATTCCCTTATAAAAGGATACAAATTTTATACATGCATGCTTTACACACATGAATTTCAGTACTAGATCCATATTAAACAGAAAAAACCTAAACCTACATGTTCACAAAAAATGCAAAAAAAGTATATTTCCTCAGAGATAAAAATATGAGGGAGAAGGGAAAAGAAAAAAAAAAACCCAAACAAAACCCCCTAAGAAACACAAGGGCTACATTTATAGGAACACAACGATTTACAAAATGTCTCTTTTTTTTTTTTTTTCTAAATGGTTGCCTTTCAAGCTTTGCCAACACTACAAGGAGCATAAAAGATCTGCCTCCCTAGCAAATTTAGAAGAATAAGCAATTACCACATTAGAGAAAATAGGCCCAGCAATTTCCACCAATTGGTAATTGGCAGCAAAACAACTCTTCATTTGCCAAACCCCAGAAAGCCCTTGAGCACCAACCTCTACATGTACCAGCAATAAAAATAGAAGAAAAAAAATCCCTATTGCCTAGAACTGGGGTTAGCCCTTCACTTTGGAGAAAGTGAAACAAACAAAAAAACCCAGATCTATCCCTCCACATAAGCAGGAGGTGGTTTTTATTATCCGGGTGTTTAAAGCTATAGGTCTTCTATCTGGAGCACTGTATCCCATGACCACTTAAATCATGATTACAGTAAGGTTGTGCTAGCAAAGGCTCCTTCCCAAAGTCTATCAAACGCAAAAGTCCTTTCTTCCAAATGAAAGGCAGGTCTTCATGTTTATGCACTACTACTACTAAAACATTTTACACAAAGAGGCAGTTGTAAGAAGCAGCTATTTGCAGGCTTTTAGCAGTGAGAGCTAGGGATTTCCTAATCCTGTTTGAGAGCACCTTCATCTACATCTGCAGCTCAAGTCTGATTATCTCCTTAACCACAGAAGGGCAGGAGTAGGTACTATAGCAATTAGAAATCTTATGCTTATTCTGGAGCATTAACAATGACTGGCCATCCTCAATGTGGATTGAAGACAGTCATCATCCACCATGGGTGACAGCAATATGCAAGCAATATATGTAAGATTTAATGTTATTTAATTATATTGATTCCTGATGCACTACTGCATCTTCCACATCAACACAGACAAGTGAGTTCCTGTGCTAAAAATGCAACAGAAGAGCTGAATCTGAATCAGGAACCCTAGGTCTTGCAGCTTCCTTTTCTCACTCTATTTACTTGTTTAAGAAGATTAAAACCATCTTATCTGAGGCAGTAACATAAGATTTCATTGGCAGAAGAGACCAATTACTGTATAATAATATTCTCAAAGCTACTTTATTATGTATTAAACACAACTGAGCCACTTTTTGATGTTCCTAGAAAGGTTTCTCTCTAAACAAGTCTTGTTAACAAATCTCATTAAAAATCAAACCTATTAGAAGAACTAAAGAGCACAATAGGGTTCCACTAAATACTGAAAATCAAGTGTCTCAGTGATGCCTCTGCCTCACAGTATTTAATAGCAAGGAACAGAACTTCAAAAGAACTATAAAAGTGTATCCACAGCACACAGAACATAGCCATATTAAGACAATCTGAGTAAGTACACTTGTTCTGCAATACATTTGTTAGCAATTTTCAACCAAAAAAAAATGCTTTTCAAGCAGTCTATAGGATTACAATAAAAATTCCAACATCTGTTTGAACATAATTGAAACATTTACAAGTAGTTCATGTAAATATATAGACATGCAGGCATTCAGAAATGCCTACTAAATGAGCAAGGATCCCAATATTTAGTCAACAATACAACTGTCTGGTTACCTGATACCAAATGTGATCCCCTTTGCAGCCTGTGTTGCTCTGTATTACTGAAGTCACAATGCTGTCTAAGGCCCACATCAGTATCAAATGCAAGTATCAAGTATCATGGCCCTGTTCCACGAAGGGCTGAGTCATTAACCTGACTGATCAACAGCAAATGTATTCCTCACATTTTTACCTGGTGTACCAGAATATTTTTGTGGGCCATTCCTTTGTATCTCTGAGTGAGAAAAAAGACCTATCACATCATTAATTCTGGCAACATGCTTTTGCAGTGGTAAAACTAAAAGCAAAAGCAGGTTGCAAAGATATGACAACCTTCTCCACAATTATTCATTTCAGGTGAAACTCTTGACCTTAGCTCACATCAGTTACTACCTCCAGAAAGACATTTTAGTCCTTTTGCTACTTAAATAGAAGTCTACGGAAGTGAAATGGAAGGAGACAGCAATAAATTTCTTAAACCACTCAGCACTATGTAGCAGTCTGAAAACATGATCCTGCTTCTGAAAACATGTATGTATTTTAACAAGTTTGCTTTCAAATGTTTCATATAAACCATATTACTTAATCAACAGGCACTTTTTGGCAATGCAATTGTATTAGTATATGAAAAAGAAATATAATTTATTTTTTTTTTAATTGGAATGTGAAATGGTCAACTTCTTTTGCTTTATATACAATTTTAATTTTTTGGGTAGATATTAATGTTTTAATACAAATTTTTAAAGTTGCCATTCTTTCCTTATTCAGAAGCAGGTTAAAGCATATACAGTAGCAAGAACTGAAGTTAGGAAAACAGAGAAGCTTAGATAAACTCACAACTATCAGATGGTCACAGCAATTTATTTTCCTACCTGTTTTCCATCCAGTGTACAAAGTCTCTTGACTACACCTGAATCTAACTTAATGGCTTCTGTGATGTCATTCAAGACCTGTTCGAAGGAGTGAGCAGTCTTCTTATTCAGCAGAATTCTCACAGCTTTCCGTGGTTTTACTCCACTCCTAATAACAGTCACTAATTTGGGTTTAATGAAATCTTTACTCTCCTTCACTTCACTCTTTGTAGATGACAAAGATGTCAGGGATCGAGTGGACCCAGTCCTTATGTTCACACACCAGTTTGGATTGACATTCTTGGTGTAATCAACTTTGCGGTATGGTTCATTGGATGCACATACATAACTTTCACCTGAAAAGAAGATAATATTTTTATAATTTAAGAGGGTTTGTAGCTATTTTTCATCAATTTAAGAAAAAAGAAAAAAAAACACCACATTTTTCAGAAGGAGTGATTTCCTGTATTTCAACTGTGGGTTATTTTAAATGGAGGACTGAAAATTATCAGAGCTCTCCACACAACCAGTACTCTCAGAGTGATTTCAATGGATTTCAAAAGACCTCTGGATAAGAAATAAAAAACCCCACAGCAAAACAGTAAATGGTATGGAGGGGGCAGAAGATATTTCACATTTATTTTGGAAAATAAGTTCTGATTTGCAAGTGCATATATCCACGTCCTTCCCTATGTATTCCTCAAGTACATACTTCAAAATGTGTACACACACACCTATGTTTAATAGTGAATTATTTTTAAAGCCACAAGTTTTAACAGAATAAAATTAAAGCCTATCAAGATGCTTGCTCTGAAGGACACATTGATTTACCAGACCGTATTACCTTTCTACGAAGGGTACATTGGTGAAATGTATTCACTTCAATTTTTTTACACCAACAAATACCAGTTGAGGCCACAAATGAGACTTTGAAACTACAGGAATATGAAAAGACATCCACACTTCCGCATTTAATTTCTTTCCTAATTCCAAGCCTGGACTGAAGTCATTAAGTCTTCTGAAGTCATGAAAGGGAGGCCACAGGACGAAAAATTATCGCAGGTTAGTAATACCTTTACATCAAATTATTTTAAGTGGTACCAGCCATGACACAGACCTAAGGAGTTTGTTACTTTTCCTCCATTCATTGACATAATTCAAGGCTAGAGACTAACTGGAGTTTTTGTTTGGTTGGTTGGTTTTGTGGTGGCTGTTGTGTTTTGTTGGGGTTTTATTAGGACAGTTTTCAAAATGGCATTTGCTGTGTCCCACAACTCTTTTAGTATCTGATAGCAATACTCAAGATGCACATCATGACAAAGAACATCTTTAACTCTGTTATTCCTGTAACACCTTAGGGTTTCACACTATGACATGCAAAGATTTTCTCAAAGAGGCAGAGCATTGTCAGAATTATTAAAGGGCAGTTCTTCTGCCAAGCCTCCAGGCAGAAGAACTATTGGACAGTGCTGTAAAAGTTACAAAATTTGTAGCTATGTTTAGATACACTCTAGAAAACCTTTAAAAACTACTTTTACTTTCTGAAGTCTAGTTTGGAACATTCTGTTATTCTTCCTTCTACAACTAGTTTACTGTGTGAACCATGGTGTGGTTAAACCCCAGCTGTCAACTAAGCACCACACAGCCACTTGCTCACTTTTTCACAGTAGGATGGGGTAGAGAAAATCAGAAGGGTAAAAGCGAGAAAACTTATGGATTGAGATAAAAACAGTTTAGTAGGTAAAGCAAAAGCTGTGTGCATATGCAAAGGAAAACAAGGAATCCATTCACTACTTCCCACCGAGGCAGGTGTTCAGCCACCTCCAGGACAGCAGGGGTCCATCGTGTATTGGTTACTTGGGAAGACAAATGACAACTCACTGGTGGGGTGAGAACCTGAAAAGGCCTTGACTCTGTGTAAACACTGGTCAGAAAAAACGAAAACATCCCTGTGCTATCATATCAACACTGTTTTCAGCATAAATCCAAAACACAGCAATTTTCCCCATGATTATGTGCTACACTTTTTGTGGATGCACCTAGCAAGTGACTTTGTTTTTTGTGTACTCATGTTGGTTAATAATACTAATTATTATTTCCTCCTACAAAAAGTGAGCAGAAGGTAATTTAGTCATTATTGTGGTTGAATAATGTTAGACATTCAACTCTGAAATGTCTCTGTCCACTTGCTTTCAAGTTTATTGACCTCCATAAGACTTTGGTAATATTTAATAATCTTCTGATAATTGTTTATATATAAATAAACCTGACAGCATCCTTTGCATTAAAATACCCTTCTAAAAGCAGAGTGTCCCTAGCACCTCAAACATTTTAAATAAGCTTCAGTGCATGAAGTCACCTATCACTTCTGAATAACCTCTTCAGTACAGCCTGCCCTGAGCAAGAGCTAAATAAATTATAGCGATCAGCACTATAAAGTACCTCAAAACTCACCATCTTTGAGCATGTGTGGAATTATCCTTTTAAACTAAAAAACAATGCGCTTCCTAGACCACTAAAAAACCCTACCTAATGCATATAAACCAATTTAAAGTTAAGCCTCATGGCTGAAACTTAAATTAACAAAGTTAACAAAAAAAACCAAACCAAAACAAAAAAATCATCAACATTAAGTCTATTCTGAAACAGGCTCTCGAACTTGAAATAAAATAATTGCTTTATGTAAAGAAGTTCAGGTAGAGAAGAAAAGGTCTCTTTGGCTAGAGGATTCACCACAGAAGAGTCTCAACATAGTATCCTACTTTGTAACTTTTAAGGACAAGTAACATAACAGGGTATCATCTTTATACTATCATGGAGTGTGACCTACTGTCAGAGATGTATCATAACACAACAGAAGGTGTCCTGTTATAAACTTTTCAGTCAGCATTGATCCAAAAGGATCTTTTTTCTTTCAAATAGCAGTGTAAAACTCATTGCCTTCTACTAGTTATCTTGCTTTATGCATTAATAAAATAATTTCTTTATTATCTGAATAAGTTGCAATATTTGTTCATTACAGATTTATTTTTCTTATTTCTTTTCCTTTAAGTAGAGGCTTTTTTTTTTTTCTTTTTTTTCCAGCATTGATCCAAAAGGATCTTTTTTCTTTCAAATAGCAGTGTAAAACTCATTGCCTTCTACTAGTTATCTTGCTTTATGCATTAATAAAATAATTTCTTTATTATCTGAATAAGTTGCAATATTTGTTCATTACAGATTTATTTTTCTTATTTCTTTTCCTTTAAGTAGAGGCTTTTTTTTTTTTTTTTTTTTTCTTTTTCTGATAAAAAAGCACAACTCAAAACAATGTAATACCTTAAAAGAATGAACTTCAAATAAATTGTTTCAACTGCATTTAGCTAAGCCTTAAGTTGAAGCACAAACTATTTTAGCTTTAAATAAAAACAGCATCTGGCAAAACTGATTCCAAAATTTCCTACAATTGGCAGATACAGGAATGACTGATTACTTGAGAACTGTATAATACAGAATGTTTAGTAAGTGTTTTAAATACCATGCTTGCTTTCTTATACCAATCATATAAACTAAAGTTATTAGCACAGGTTTTACATGGAGAACAGATTTTATTACACTTGCAAGGTATGTGCATATGGCAGGATGAGAGCAAGGACTGTAAGTGAGAAAACACATACATCACATGACTTGCTTGGTTCATGACTTAAAGGATGAAGTTTTTACTCTACTGAAATCACTGTTTAAAATTCTATTGATTTCACCACAGCCAGGACTCCATCCACAGTTTCTAAATCCCACTGATGATCTTTCAAAATATTAAAAAATTGCTAGAAACAAAATATGATTAGGAATCCAACTATGCTGCTTTTTGCATAAAGAATGATTTTCTAGGAATGAGTTAAATTAAACATTCATTTGTTTGGTTTAACAGTTGTATACGATTGATTATTCAACAGAAGAAAATATTTAAGGAAGGAGAAAATGGCAGGGCTAAGATAAATCACATCTAGACAGTTTGCTACAGGAAACTTTCCTACAGAATGGTGTATTGAAAAAGCATACTTAAGCAAACACCACCCCTTGACAAGAAAACATTAATTTTTGAACACTGCTGTTGTTTAAATTTATACTTATCCAATTCTCCAAAGTAGAAAATGCAAGTCAAGTAATTTTTTAGAGTATTACTTCTCTTTTACGTTACATTTTGTAAGTAAAAACCTGAAAGTGCAAAGTTATATGTAATATTTGCTCACAGCTTTTACATATGACCTGATTTTAAATCTGCTTGGTATTAATTAACGTATAAAGATATACTTCTGATAATCTCCACACTTTTCCAAAAAAACAGTATTTGTAAAATGTAACATACAGCACTTCATTATTTTTGGGTTTAAACCAGTCAAATTGATGTCATTCACTCTTAACAAAGTAACAGATAACTTTATACTTAAAATCACATACATAAATACATTTGGCTGTTTCACTAACTGCTTTGAATGAGATTTTTCACGTGTCTTACCTAAACGCGTATCATCTTAATTACTAAGAAAATATTTTCTGAGGCATTTCAATCAGGCTGCCGCTTCCCTCCCTCCCTTTTTTTGACATCTACCACCCCTAAAACATTTACACAACTCCACAAATAAGGATAAACAATACTTCAAATACTTACATTGCTGACTTCCATACAGTCAATTTTATGGTTTGAAGGCCCACTTTCCATTTATAGTCTTGAAATATTTTAAAGCATACTAACCTTACCTGGCATATAGTCACAGTAGTTATATTACTGGAAATAAATACCCTGCTTTTAGCTTGCAACATTAATATACTTTTTAATGCAGAAAAAAAATATGCAAGAATTACAGCCGTAGGTTACAGCTGGGACTCTGAACCCAGCCAAACTATTCTATAGCAGAAAGCTTAACCAGGCTGCATAGCAGTTTTGGCAAAAAATATGAAACTTTGTTATAAACTAGCATTATAATTTCAACAGAGCATATGTGCCATCCATCCAATGCTCCATGACAGTACCCAGAGCATTCTAAAAGTGTCAGTTCTTCCACAAAGAAATCCTGCTACCACCAAAAATTTCTCAAAAGAGGCATATGCTCACTTAAAAGGATTAACATCTGCTGATATTTTGGCTCACAATATAATCAACAAATGGAGTAAGCTTACTTTTGATTCTGTCTTACTAACATTAGAAAAACAACTAGAAGATATGAAACATTGCCTATTAACAAGGAAACATTACCTGCCTCTAATTGACCCCTTCTGCATTAATAACCGCATGCTCTACCCACAAAGCAAGACCTATGTGTGTGTGCAGCCTGTATGCAGTCTAAGCACACTGCAGAAGGATTCCAGTCTCAGAGAACTATTACTCTAAGCATTGCAATTCCCTCACAACAGTAAAATACAGATGATGAACACAGACAGTGGATAAAAAAAGAGAATCAGAATACATTGATCAACCTGAGTGATAGACAGACCATCAGATGCCTAAATACTGTTTTGCTTACTTAAAAATTCATCTACAAAGGTGTGGGGTTTTTGCCTTCTGTTTCTTCAACAATGTTATTCACAGGAAATGTGCCTAGCTCACCTTCCAAGAGATAAAGGCAGAGATAAATAGAGTAGGGTGTATGTCAACTCTTTGAAATTCAGCCATGCAATTCCAGGTACTTAAAGAAACAGAAGGCTGCATCTTATATTTTTGTATCATAAGTATAAATGACTTGCAACTATGTCCAGTTTTGAGTTGCCTGACAACTTGGGGTTCTTCACTGCACATGTTTTCTCAATTGAAGCCCACTGCTTGGCACCTGCCAAATAGCCTAGGAACATTCAGATTGTCTTTCCTTAAAAACAGAGACTACTAGAGAAAGACTTGCAGATCTTTCATTTGCCTTAGCATTAGGTTAAAAAAAGAACTAACTGTGGATTCACCATGTGGTGGGTAATGTGAGGAAGAAATTAAATGTACAGCATTTAAAAATCCTGAGTCAGGACTTGAAACAAAAGTCTCAGCATAAGGTTTTATGTCTTGCTTTTTGAAAGGTGTTGACAAGCTCTAACTACCCCCTCTTAAATCACATAAAGCATCATGCTTTTAATGACACACTGCATAACAGAGAATGATATAGCTGGCAAAAGTTAAAAAAATATCCCCGCAGAAAGAAAATAATTAGTCTCTGTATTTTTTAAATGTATGTTCAGTGGTGAAGCACACAGGACAGGACAGGTTTCTAGGTATATTTAATCTACCTATCTCATGTCCCTCAGCTTCTTTTGATGGAACTCCTAAGTTTCAAAGGTGCCAAAAGCTTCTTACTCAGTAAAGCATAGCAGTAATTACAACTACTAACCTTCTAACTTTAGGAATCACAGGGAAGTACCCTTTTTGTGTTCTGTAACACAAAGCCAAGCAGATTTTCAGAACAGTATATTTACAGGAAGTATAAAAGGGGTGATCTAAAAATAAAACATCTTTTATGAAGTACTAGGTTATTTAGATCTCTCCTTCCTTTCTTTCACAGGGCTTCCTTCCTCGTCAGTTTCTTATGATTCTGTCACTTTCATGTCACCTCCAATAACCCTGTATAAGTCACGATCTTTCCTCAACTACAGCATTTAAATTCCCCATGCACTTTTCAAACCTGGGATAACAACAGGAATTTTAGCAGATTACTAGTTCCTAGTTCTCTTTTGACTTTATTTAGTCAAGAGGTTCAAATGACAGCTCCCTAGAAGCTTTCACAGAACAACTGATGTTGAAAAGGACCTCTGGAGGTCATCTGGTCTAACCTCCTGCTTAGGCAGGATAAAAACTTTCAGAAGACATTTAAATTCACCTGGTAA